GCTGAGGCGGGAGGATCGCTTGAGGTCAGGAGTTCGAGGCAGCAGTGCACCATGATTGCGCCTGTGAATAGCCACTGCACCCTCACGTGGACAGCATCGTGAGACTCTGTTTCTAAAATAAATAAAATAAAAAGAAAGCAAAGAGAGGGACCAAACATATTTTAAAAGGGCTTTCAGTCAACTCAAAAAAAATTCCCAGAAATAGGACCCAAAAGAGAAAAATCAGCAGTGGCTCACTCCTGTAATCCTAGCACTCTGGGAGGCTGAGGTGGACAGATTGCTCGAGGTCAGGAGTTCGAAACCAGCCTGAGAAAAAGTGAGACCCCGTCTCTACTATAAATAGAAAGAAATTAATTGGCCAACTAATATATATAGAAAAAATTAGCCGGGCATGGTGGCAGGTGGCCATGCCTGTAGTCCCAGCCCACGGCAACTCACTATAGCCTCGGGCCAACAAAGCGAGACTCTGTCCCCCAAAAAAAAGAGAAAAATCAGAAAGCGTTTGCAACTATGTGTGTATGTTTCATTCATTCAGTCATACCACAGGTCTCTGTGCCGAGGCTGGAGTGGCAGATGGTGCAATCACTTTAAGGAACTTTTCAAAAGTAAACAAGGCCCGGAGTGTGTTTTGGGTTGGAAATGCTGTTGCTTATGCAGCGTCCACTCTGCTTTTTCCTAAGTGTCACCCAAGAAGTTTGTCGCTCTCTTTCCGTGGCTCAGACTGCCTCTGGTGTGGTGACAAGGCAGGGTGTCAAGGTATTTAGCGTGACGCAGTCCCTTATTATACCTTTCCAAATGAGCAAGAGTCCTAAAATAGTCTTCTGGTGAAGAATGCCCTGCGAGGCCTCCCCTGTCCAGTATAGCAGTTCTGACCTCAGTTTGACACCTCTGCAAGTCTCTAGTGCCTGGAGCACCCAAGGGGTCAGAGCAATAGCTCTTCTCTCTGGGCACAAAGAGACTTGCGTGTTCAGTGGGCCCTCTTGGTTTAGAATGGAAATTGGCCACAAATGAAAGACATGTCCACATTAATGAACAATGGAAAAGCAGTCGCAGTTTTTAGAGCACACTTTGTAATTTTTATCCCCCCAAAAGAGTGAAACCCCAGTTGCCCAACTGCCACTCCGGCCCAGACGGGGGGTATTTGGGGCAAGTCTAGGACTGCAAGCTGGGACTAGATCAATTTCCCTGATATAGCCCCATTAGCAGGCAGTGGGTTTTAAGAGAGGGGGATCCTCGCTCTGTCCCTAGGCTGGAGTGCAGTGGCTACGTAGCTCAGTTCAGCTCTAACTCCTGGCTCAGGTGACCCAGCCTCCAGCAGCGGGATGACACGCCCTGAGCCATGCACTTAGCTCCTAAGCAATGGGGATTTTTTGTGTTTGTTTTTGAGACAGGGTCTCCTCTGATGGCCTAGCTGAGGGCTGGGGTGGACCAGAGCTCAAGCAGTGGGATTTTAAAGGAAAAAAAAGGCAGTTCTAAATTGTTTACAAGATTTACATTAAAATGACAGAGACTACTGATTGGCCATCTATTATTCTTTTCTCACAAGTCCAGGAATATGAAGATAATGAGTAGGCAGCAAGTCAAATACAAGGAAAGAAGAACAAATGCTTTTAAAACAACTGCAAGGGTGTGGTGGCGGAGCATGGCTGAAGTCCATACTCTGTTCTCCTGGACATGATAAATTGTGGAAATACCTCACATAGCTCAGATGCTGTGCGCTAATTTCTTTTCTTACTGCCTCTCTTTGACCAAAGTCTTTCTCTTCTGAAAACACTGATGACAACACGTTAGATGTACAAACGTCCCACGTCACAGGGAAGGCTCACTTCCGGTTAATCTCCATCCTTCTGCCAGGTGGGAGGGAAAGAGGGGAGGATGCTGTGCGTGAGGAACTTAGCAGTTCTCAAGGCCAAGTTGATGAACAGCAAGCACGAGTGGGTCTCAGTCAGGCCATCTTAACAAGGGAGCCATGGCACATTGGATCTTTCTAAGCATCTATCATGATTATTTTTGTTGTTACTTTAGATATGTAGACATAACAGTACTAATTACATTTAAGAATCAAAGTATGAACAATAAAGACAATTATTCAAATTCGAAATCCGGTTAGAAAGTGTTCCATTCCTCAAGGTAATAGAAATATTTCGTGTACTTTCTTGTCGGAGGTGTGAAGAACAAGGTGTTGAGGGTGTGAGACCAGCCAGCCACCCAGTCGCCTGTGCAGTGGGGACCTTCATTTGATGGCTTTTTCCAATAAACAAACTCCAGGTTGGGACTTAATCTTTGATGTCCTATCCAAGGGAGTTCACTTTAAAAGAATCATTAATTAATTTAGAATTTTTAGTGAAAAGGAAAAGGCCCGGGCAATAAGGAATTCATATTTAAGGACTGGATCCAGCCGTTTCCTCCAGAGTGTGTGGATTTCAAAGAGAAACCTGATTTTCCAAATTGGGTAAGAAAAATAAGCAAGTGAAGAGCTGAGGGCAGGAAGGGTTGAAAGTTCTGTAAGCTTTGCCAACTGATTTTTTTTTTTTTTATTGTCCGCCATTGTGGCCTTCCACCAGTCTGAAGGGCAGGCGGAGGGCCGGAATGGGCATAGTGCAAGTGCGATCCGATCCAGTCTCAGCCAGGCTTTGAATTCACCAGAGAGTATCCGATAATATGTTACACCCTCTTATAAAGTTTTCCGCAACTCTTTCCCATTCAATGTCCACTCACTTTATCTTCTTTCTGTAGCCCTCAAACTTAAAACAATTTACAACAACTCCAGACAAAAACTTACTTCCACAAACCGATTTCTCGTGCACTTCTTTATAACCTCCTTTACCAAAAACACATCTGACTGCTCTTATACACTTTTGCAAGATTGTTTCTATACTAGTAGTTTTATTCATATATTAATTACAATTTATATCTTATATTTAATTTTAGTGGAAAATTTAGGAAGTAATTTTGAACTGTTTTATATGAGTATTTGTATGATGAAAAACCTTTCTAATTTCTTAGAAATGTTCCTCAATTTTATTAGACAGATATCTAATATATTTATTTTGTATCATAAATACGACATATAAAAAATCCAAAAATGCAAAATAAATATCCAACTACTTACATTAATGATTCTGTTTCAGTAATTTAACTTGAAATGACTCAAACTATTTTATGCCTTCTTTGTACTCGAGTTTAACATATTACTTTAAATTGCTGAAACGATTTTTAAATGATGAAAAGTTTATGTATGAACTTTTTTACCTCTACCATTCTACATAATTGTTCTTAACAATATGCGTGATGTCCATTAAATAAAGCGTGGCCATCATCTCAAGTATTTCCTTCTAATAATTTGCACTTCTGCAATGTTGAGCAGCTTGCCACTACACAAGTGCGGATATTTTGGCATCGGAAGATACGGCTTGTTTTATTACAATCACACAATATTGCTGGGCGCGGTGGGCTCACACCTGTAATCCTAGCACTCTAGGAGAGCGAGGTGGGAAGATTGCTTGAGTCAGGAGTTCAGACCAGCGAGGAAGTCGAGACCCACTCTACTATAAATAGAAGAAATTAGCCAACAACTAAAATTTAGAAAAAAAGGCGGGCGTGGTGGCTCACGCCTGTAATCCTAGTTCTCTGGAGCCGAGGCAGGCCGGAATCGTTTGAGCTCAGGATCTACACCAACCTGAGCACGAGCAGACCCGTCCTACTACTATAATAGAAAGAAATTTAATTGGACAAATGATATATAAAAAATTGCCGGAGGTGCACTTGCTGTTGTCCCAGCTACCGGGAGCTGAGGCAGGAGGTGCGTGAGCCCCAGGATTTGAAGGGTTGCTGTGAGCTAGGCTGACTGCCACGCACTCACTCTAGCCTGGACAACAAAGTGAGATTCTGTCTAAAAAAAAAATTAGCCGGCATGGTGCATGTGCCTGTAGTCCCAGCTACTCAGGAGGCTGAGCGAGGAGGATCACTTGAGCCCAGGAGTTGAGTTGCTGTGAGCTAGGCTGATGCCGGAGTGGCACTCTAGCCGGGCAAACAGAATGAGAAGACTCTGTCTCAAAATTCAAACCAAACAACAAAAAAACCAGTATTAACAGTCTTACCAAAGATTTACCAAGTGAATAAAATTAAGTAGTTTTATTTTCGATAAAATATTTGACTAAGCCATTTTTACGACAGTTAAGAGCTCTTTTATATATTTCAGTAGTGATATCACCACATAACACATAAACATACAGAGAAGAAGCAAGATCTTTAGCTTTTTATAATTCTTATTGCCCCCAGGGTTGACAGAAAATAAATTCTGCCAAATATTCTAAGAAGGTTTATTCTGAGCCCAATAGAAGTTTGACTGGCCAAGGAACATCCATCTCAAGAGGTCCTGAAAAAGGTCACCCAAGGAAGCTGGGTTTACATTTTGTTTTATTATTATCACAGAGATAGGACTTACAGGTAAACTCCATAAATCAATACATGGAAGGGACACAATGGTTTCAGGTTGACAAGCAGACATCTAGACTGGGGGCTTACAAGTAAGGTAGTTTTAGGGATTCCTTTTTATGGCAATTGGGTTTTGAAGAGTTAAGTTTTTGTCTAAAGATGGAGGGTCAGGGCTGGAAACTCAAGTGGCTCATGCCCTTGTGAATCCCAGCATTTTTTGGGAGGCTGAGCGTGGGGAGGACAACTTTGACCAGGAGTTTGAGATAGCTGAAAACACAGTGAGCCTGTCTGAAAAAAACTTTAAAAATTCTGCGGCATGGTGATGTACCCTGTAGTCTAGCTTACTTGGAGGCTGAGGCCAAGGAAAGATTGCTCGATGCCAAGGAATTTGTTGTTACAGTGAGCTTTAATGATCCACCAATTGCACTCCGCCCTGGGTTGCAGAGTGGGGGACCCTATCTCTAAAAACTTAATAAAATAAATAAACCCATTTTAATGGGATTTATGTTTGTAAGGTATGAACTCCAATCAGGCCTTTTTAAGCGGCGGCGCGGCGGCAGCGGGGCCACATGGCGCCGGCCCCGGCGAGCAGCGCGTCCTTCTTGGCCCCCGGCAGCGCCTCATGGTCCTCGGCGGCCACGATCTTCGTCTCGCAGACCATGTCGGGAGGCCCACAATGCATGCACCCGGCCGGGCGGCGCAGCGCGGGGACGCGGCCGGGCGGCGGCCGGGCTCGGCCCGAGCACAGGGCAAGGCGCGGCGCCCTCGGACCCGCGGCAGCGGCGGCGGCTCAGGGGCGCGGGGCGGAGGCGGCGGGCGGCCGGGGCGCGCGCAGGGAGCTGCGCTGCATTTTGGAGAAGTATTTATAATGCAGCGGCGCCGGTGCAGTCGCGGCGCCCGGGGTCCCGCAGGGTCCTAGCGTCCACTGCATTGGCTGCCGAGGGTCACCATGTGATCTCGGGGGTGGGAGCAGACGCCGCCTGCGCGCCCGTCCGATGGCACACTAGGCGCTGCGCCGTGGCCGGGCGCGGGCGGCCGGCGGGGTTGCGGCCGGCGGGGGTGGCGCGGGAGGCCAGGGCCGCGACGGAGCGGCGGAGCCTCGCGATGTGGTCCAGAACTGACGTGCGGCGGGGGCGGGGGGCGGCGGCGGTCGGAGCTGGGCGTCCTGTGGGGCTCGGGACGGGGCCGGAACGGGGAGCGCGTGATGGGCACCCGCCGCCCCGCCCCTGCGCCGCCGCTCTGCGTGGGGTCGGCCGCCGGGAGTAGTCACGGAAGCATCCCCATCTCCATCTCCATCTCCATCTCCCGCCCCTTTGTCTGAAAGCGGCGTCCCCGAGAACTCGCGGCCGGGACCGCACGGGTTGGAGCAGAGGGGACGTGGTTGGAGCGGGGCCTGGTGCCTACGCGCCCGCAGCTCTGCACGTCCCCGCGCAGCGCAACACCCCCACGCCCGATCCCCGCAGCTGACGCGGGGCTCGGGCCCGCAGGACCCTCCCGGCCCGGCCCCCGCCCTCCGCGGCCCGCGCATGCGCCCCGTAGCCTCGGTGCAGGTGCACGGCCGGCTTGCGGAGGGCGTCCTCCCAGTCCGGGCGAGCAGGACATGCAGACGCTATAGACCGGGCACCGAGGAGTTCAGGTGGAGGACAGGTGATCACAGACCCTATCCTTGGCACTTTGAGAAACCAGCCCCCCGCAGCGCTCCACCTCCTTCCCCGAGTCACCCCGAAAGGCAACCGGAGCCAAATTCTCCACACACGCGCGGGCCCGCGCTGCGCCGTGGAGTGGGGCCGGCGGGCAACTAAGGTCACCCAGAGGCCCGGAGCGCCCGGCTTGCCTGTGGGACGTGGGAGCGAGCGTGCAGCGTCGCGCTAAGGGACCATGTGGAGCGGGGAGGGCGCTGAACTGGTCCACGGGAAGACTTCTTCCTTCCATGTCAGGTACCTGGCAGTCACCTTTGTCGCCCTAAAGGTAAAAACTGAGGGAAAATAAATATAAGTAATGAGTTTAGGCGGGGCGCGGTGGCTCACGCCTGTAATCCTAGCACTCTGGGAGGCTGAGATGGGCGGATTGCTCGAAGTCAGGAGTTCAAAACTAGCCTGAGAAAAAGCGAGACCCCGTCTCTACTATAAAAATAAAAAGAAATTAATTGGCCAACTAATATATATATAGAAAAAATTAGCCGGGCATGGTGGCACATGCCTGTAGTCCCAGCTACTCAGGAGGCTGAGGCAGGAGGATTGCTTGAGCCCAGGAGTTTGAGGTTGCTGTGAGCTATGCTGATGCCACGGCACTCACTCTAGCCTCGGCAACAAAGCGAGACTCTGTCTCCAAAAAAAAGAGAAAAATCAGAAAGGTTTGCCTATGTGTGTATGTTTCATTCATTCAGTCATACACAGGGTCTCTGTCGCCGAGGCTGGAGTGCAGAGGTGCAATCACTTTAGGAACTTTTCAAAAGTAACCAAGGCCCGGAGTGTGTTTTGGGTTGAAATGTGTTGCTTATGCACGTCACTGCTCAGACCCCGTCTCTACTATAAATAGAAAGAAATTAATTGGCCAACTAATATATATAGAAAAAATTAGCCGGGCATGGTGGCGCATGCCTGTAGTCCCAGCCCACGGCACTCACTCTAGCCTCGGCAACAAAGCGAGACTCTGTCTCCAAAAAAAAGAGAAAAATCAGAAAGGTTTGCCTATGTGTGTATGTTTCATTCATTCAGTCATACACAGGGTCTCTGTCGCCGAGGCTGGAGTGCAGAGGTGCAATCACTTTAGGAACTTTTCAAAAGTAACCAAGGCCCGGAGTGTGTTTTGGGTTGAAATGTGTTGCTTATGCACGTCACTGCTCTAAGTGTCACCCAAGAGTTGTGATCGCTCTCTTTCGTGGCTCAGACTGCCTCTGTGTGGTGACAGCAGGGTGTTCAAGGTATTTAGGTGACCAGTCCCTTATTTATACCTTTCCAAATGAGCAAGAGTCCCTAAAATATTCTTCTGGTGAAGAATGCCCTGCGAGGCCTCCCTGTCCAGTATAGCAGTTCTGACCTCAGTTCTGACACCTCTGCCAAGTCTCTAGTGGCCTGGAGCACCCAAGGGGTCAGAGCAATAGCCTCTTCTCTCTGGCACAAGAGAACTTGCTGTCATGCCCCTTTTGGTTTAGAATGGAAATTGGCCACAAATGAAAAGACATGTCCACATTATGAATAATGAAAAGCAGCTGCAGTTTTTAGAGCACACTTTGTAATTTTATCCCCAAAGAAGTGAAACCCCCAGTGCCCAACTGCCACTCCACGGCCCAGACCCCGTGCCATGAGGCAGAGGCAGGAAGCCAGCCCTCCACAGGGTTCTTTACTGCAATCTCCTGTGCAAAGAAAGAGACCGAAGCCCTCACTTTTAAAGGAAAGACAGGGTTTGAAAAACAGCCCAAATAAAATGTAGACCACAATGGAAAAGAGAAGGAAGGTCTGGATTCAGACTCACCCTTCTGCACCCCGTGACGCCTCTGGAGGCAGATGACCACATGGGTGCGTGCTGGTGCTGAGCTGCCGGGTCCCAGAGAGAACGCTGGGGGTCAGGGGAGGGTGGTCACTCTGAGTCCTGAAGGCTTAGGCCAGATATGTTGACCTAAAGGGAACAACTGAGGAGAAATTATTGTAAGTAGGGAGTTTATTTGGGCCACGTTGGAGGGCGGCAACCAATCTATGCTCTCAGGTTGCAGTCCTCCAGCTTGGCCCAAATAAACTCTCTACTTATGTTAATTTTTACATCAGTTTTTTCCATTAGGTCAACACTTTTCAGGAGAGCAAAGCAGAATCACAGAAAATCTCGAAGGAACTCACTGATCCATGCGATGCCTGAGTGCCAGCCAGCCACAACGGTGGCTCTTCAGTGTCCTGAGGGTGGCCGGGTGGATGGCAGGAGAGTCCCAGGAGAGGGAACAGCATGCAAGGGACCCAGGCAGGAAAACTGGCCCCTGGAGACAGGCGCAGGCAGGTGTGCCTGGAGGGGCCGGGCACTGGAAGGTGAGGCTGGCTTTGAACTTGGGAATGCGGGCCCTGAGCCCCAGAGCAGAGATTGGGAGATGTTCAGTCATGTTCCTGACAGGGGCAAGGAAAAGGGAGAAGCCATGCCTGCCACCCAGGACTCCTGGGCGGTGTCCTCCTGAGCCCCAGACTTCAGTGTGAGCTAGAGCAGAGTGGTCCAGCCCTCACAGGGTCAGGCCTCTGCTGAACCCTACCCACCCCTCGCCCCCACACCAAGATGAGGCTGCCCCTGCTTTGTCGCCCACAGCCAGTCCCCAGGACAGAAGCAGGCCTGGAGGCCCGTCTGTCCCCGTTCAGCCTGACCTCACCCTTCAGCCCTGAGACCCTCAAATCTCCCATAGCCATGTGACCCCCCAATGGTCATGATGGCCTGGTGAGGCTTGCACTCCCACCTCCTGGGTCACAAGAGCCTGGAATGCTCCAGAGTGAGTTTGGGAATAGGAATGGGACTGCCACACTTAGCTCGTAAGGGGCAGGGCTGGACCCCAGGAACAGCCACCTGGAAGGTCTAGGAGATCTGAAAACATCTCTGGGTGTGGCTGGGGGGCCTGGAGCCCTCTCCCCCTCCCTGAAAGGGAAAGACTGCACAGGCCTCAGGCCGGTCCCAGGGCCTGCTGTGCCTGTTTTCCCCTCTGTGAGGTGGGGGTGCCCCTACCCACCCCAGGCGAGGCTATGCCAGAAAGCTGCGCCTCATGTTAGCCCCAGGTTGGTGTCAGGAGCCCATTTTACAGGCAAGAAAACCAAGACACAGTTGGGCCCCAGAGCTGTTTGTCCTCTGAGGTGAGAGGATCACTTGAGACCAGCAGTTTGACACCAGCCTGAGCAAGAGCAAGACCTTGTCTCTACAAAAAAATAGAAAATTAGCGGGTGTGGTGGTACTCACCTGTAGTCTCAGCTCTTCAGGAGGCTGAGGCAGGAGGACTGCTTAGAGCCCAGGAGTTTCAGGTTGCGGTGAGTCGTGATCATGCCAGGAGATGGGGAGAAAAAGAAGGAAACAGAGCCGTGCAGAAGGCCCACTGTGCAACTTACAAGAGTTCCAGGAAAGGAAAAGGGAGGGAAGAAACAAGAGTAAAACAATGATTCCCCCAAGCTAAAGGGCCTACAGCTCCAGGTGCAACCTGCCCGGCACCTTGAACCAGTGCAAACAGGGCTCAAAACATATCCCGGAGAAACTTCTAGTGACTATTGAGGGTCCACTGCTGCAGGCAGATGGAGTGGGTGCAGGGAGGCGCCCACCTCCAACTGAGAGCCCACCCTCCACTCGACCTTCCCTGCAGGACTGAGCCAGGCGCCAGCCCAAAGTGGGCCGCAGAAGGACAGTCTCGCCCTCCCGGGGCTCTGCCAGCGGGGCTGTCAGGAGACGAGCTACTAACTTGTGCAGAGAGCACAAGCACTCGAGAGGCTCCCATGGACACACGCCGGAGAGCAAGGCTGGTCTTGGAGGCCAAAGGGGCAGCTGCCCTGGGGGGGAGGGCCCAACTACGAGCCCCCAGAGCTGGCGGAAGACATCTTCAGACAGGCCACCTGGGCACATTTTCTTCCCACATGCTTTTCTGCCAGCCTACCTGAAAGTATACGGCAGGGAGGACAGGACACGGGTCTAGGGGAAGGTGGCTCCGAGCTGCAGAGTGAAGCTCAGGCAGGAGGGTGGGCAGCGGGAACGCCCAGCTGGCGGGGGCAGGAGGGCGAAGGTGTCGGGAGGTGCCCTGAGACAAGGGATGGCTGGATGCTGGAGGACGTGCAGATGTGATAAAGGCTGACAATGTGGGAGAAGGGAAAAGCCAACATGACGTCCAGAAAAGCAGGTGTCTGGGAAAGAGAACGCACTCCCAGCTCACTGGCCAGGCCATGAGTGACACCTACATGCAGACGTCACGGATGCTCTGTACTGACTCACCTCCAGCCAAGCAGGACAGCCCTGTGTGGCTCTAGGGCAAATGTGAAGCCAAACTGCTCGCCGCTACCTGTGCTCCCCCGCCGGAAGCCTGTTTAGGCCTCCCCAGCCCTGATGGACCCTGCTCTTGTCAAGGTCACCAATGACCAGAGTTGCCAAATCTGCTGGTCATCCCAGGCCTTGCCTACCCTCCATGGCATGTGACACAGTGAACCCTGATTCCTGAAGCCCTCCAGGACACCTCTCAGTTCTCTTCCTGCTGTGGTGGCTCCATTGCCCCCAGGGGTCCCTCAGCTGTCAGCTGTCCATGCTTAGGCCACAGGGATCTCAGCCAGCACTCCTGTCCCAACCTGCTCCCTCCAGCCCCCTTCCTGGTGCAACCACCTGGTAGCCTCCTGCCTCCCTCTAACCCACATCCACTTGCTCACATACCCCGCTGCCACCACTTTCAAACACATCCAGAATCCAACTGCCACTCACACTGGTCCCAACACCAGTACCCGCCAGCCACCTCCTCAGCTCTGATGGCTGCAGTCATCCCCTTGTAGGCCAGTTCTGTGCTCACCCAGCTGGTCTGTTCTCAACTAGCGGCCAGAAGGGTCCAGCTCACAGCCATCAGCCCACATCCTTGCCCCAAACTCCACAGGGTTCCACCATGCTACGCCAACACTCTCCTGATATGGCCATGCTCTCTGCAGGCCCTGGGCCTCCTTGCTGGACAGAGGCACATGCACACCAGCCCCTGGCCCCTCCACACCCGAGTCTGCCTGGCGCGTGCCCCTGCATCACCTCAAAGGACACCTCCTGAGAGGCTTCTACTAGCACTCTAGGCTGACCCCATCTCTTACAGTAACAGTAGTGAGCCTCAATCTGTGCCAGGGCTCATGGCTGCCCATCAAATATGGGACATTAAATTTGAATTTTGGATAAATAACTTTAGTTCATCCCAAATATTGCATGGGACTACCCTTAAAAAGTATTTGTTGTTCTTGTATTTGATGTGCTAAATCTGGTTACCCAAGGCTACATTCCCTGCCTCCCTTGCAGCTAGGAGTGGCCATGTGACTAAGGCCAGCCAATGGGACATGAGTATGCTGGGCCATGCCCTTCTTTGCCACCTCTGCTCAGGCACTGCTGAGCTGGGGACAGGAGCCTGGCCCTGTACCACACGCCTCTCTGGCCCAGGCTGGAGGGCCAATGAAGGCCCAAGGCCTGCCATGGCCTCAGAACCCCTCAAGTCTCTCCCTGGCCTGTTTCAGAGTTCTTCACAGGTCCCTCCACTGCAGTGTGAGCTGCCTAGGGAGGACTCTGTTCACTGGGAAGCCTGCACATCACGACAGGCTAATGGGGGCAGGCAAAGGGCAGGAGCATGGAGTCAGAACCTGGCAGTCAGCAGGGACAGTAAAGATCACCACAGGACAGAGCAGAGGTAGAGGCTAGTGAGCTAAAAGGCCTCCTCTCAGACAGTGGATCAGGACTTTCCAGCCCTACCTGCCCAAGAGCAGCACCTGTGCTGCGGCAGTGACAAGCAGGGTACTAAAGCCACAGAGAGCCCAAGTGTCCTGCCCAGGTGAGTGACATATACTTCCAGTCTTTGCCCTGCTGTGCTCCTGGGTTTGTTTCTAACAATGTGCATGCATTACTTTGACAAAAGGCTCTATTTTTACTTTTAAAAGCATGTACAGAAAAAACAAAGGGAGAAAGGTGTGACTTGCTTCACCTGGAGGTCACCTGCTGGGCACTGGGTGCACAGGCCCGTGCCAGCTCCCTGTCCAGGAGACCCCAGTGCCAGGCTCAGGGCTGAGGCTGGGCGTGGCGATCCCAGCCCTCCCTTCCCTGGAGAGGCACTGCCCAGTCACCCTTGCTCTTCCAACAGCCACAGGCTATGTGGCCTGCCACTCAGCCTCCAGGGAGCCCACTCCATGCAGAGTCTTGGGGGGCTTAGCCCTGGGGCGTCAGGGGCATAGAGCATTTTCTCCACTTGCCCAGCCTCCAAGCAAGGAGAGCAGGCCCCTGGAAGGTGGGCTCGCCGTGGCACACATGCCTGTGGGTGCAGGTGCACGCAAGAAGATGGAAGTGTGTATGAGACAGGTGGCAAGAGGGCCCCCACTCACATAGAACTGGGAAAACCAAGGCCCAGAAAGGGGCCCAACCACCCAGGAGCTGCTAGGGAAGACGCAGGGGGCTCTGGTGTCCAGAGCAGGGAGAAAGTACACAGGCATGCTGGCTGGGCGTTTATTGACAAGGGACAGTGCTGGTGAGGGTCCTCAGCGCCCGGTCGGCCAACAGGCACACAGGGCCCGGCGCTCGGCCTGTAGGAGGAGGGTCTCCGTCTGCAAAGCAACAAGAGACCATGAGGGTGTGGCACAGCTGCCCCCTGGCCATCTCCCCCAGGGCCTCCAGCCTACCCAGGGCAGCCCCATCTCCAGCTGCTTCTGACAGGGCCTGCACGTGGTGACCCCAAGCCAGATAACTGCCCCACCTTCCTTCAGCTCACACCCCCTCTGGGGGAGGGGGCCACTGTCAGCCAAAACCCCCCAGTGGAATGCCCAAGGGAAAGCTAGGGTCTGCTCCTTCAAGAGCCCAGCTCTAGACCCCATGGTGGGAGAGGGGGCTCCAGGTTTCTGCCTGGGCCCTCTGGAACTGTCCAGAAAAGGGCACCAGGACTTACAAGGGATGGGCCAGACAAGGGCACTCCCTTCCTGAATTCTCCTTTCCAGGACGAAGCACAAGTTTCTGCCACAGATGAAAACGCTCCCAGCTGTGCCTTGTGTGTCCAGTCTTGGGGATGTTTAGTCAATGTATGTGTCTACCCACCTCCATCCCTATGCTCTGGCCACACCCTCTTTCTCCACCCCACTTTCCTCTGGACCCCTGGGCCTCACCCCCCACCTGGGGAATCCTGGACTGGGCTGGCGGTCCCTCCCAGGGGCCAGGTCTGCCACAGCACCCACACCCGGGGTAGAGGAGTCACAGGCCTCCAGAGGAGGGGCTAGAAAGTGTGCTGGGCATAGGGGGTGCTCAAGGGTAAGGACTGTGCCCACAAGGATCACAGGGACTGCCAATAAATAGGGGTGGAAGATTAGGGACACGCCTGGGAGTCCTGGAACGCTGGCTATACGTTCACCAGAGAGCGCCTCTTCTACACCCCTTGCACCTGTCCCGAGCCCATGGGAAGCCTGGGACCGCCCTGGGGCGCCAAGCGGCCCTCACCCGCGCGTCCAAGCTGTAGGCTGTCTTCCGCAGGTCCTGCAGGGCGCGCTGCATGAACTCGAACGCGTGGCAGTCAACACACGGGCGGCCTGTGGGAGGGGGGGTGACGGAGGAAGAATGCCGTCTGGAGGGGGTCCCTTGCACGGCCAGGCCTCCACCCTCAGCCGTGTTCCAGCCAAGAGATTGGCCCCACTCCCCACTCCACCATCTCCCGCTGAGGGGAGCACACCCGCTGCGGGAACAAAGGAGAGGCGCGGCCCCCAATCCCCCCCCCCCCCCCCCCCCCGCTGCGCTCCCCAGGGTCGCCCCGGGGCACCAACTCTGTGCAGGGACTGCGCTCCCGGTGGCAGATTCAGCGCGGGCCCGGGTGCCCAGCAGCGTCAGGCTCAGCAGCAGCAGCAGCGGCGGCGACATCGGGGACCTGCGCACCAGCGGGGGGGCCATGGCCGAGGAAGCCCGGGCCGCCCTGCAGTGGGCGGGAGGGAGTCAGGGGTGCCAGCCGCACCTTGGGCCCCGGAAGCTCCGCCGCTGTACCCCAACTCCGGGCCCGCGACTCCAGCCCCACCCACCCCCAGGACTGCGAATCTCCGCCCCATCCCCCAGGCCCGCGACCCCCGCCCACCCCCCCACCCGGCCCGTGACCCCAGCCCTACCCACTCTCAGGGCCGCGATACCCCGCCTCAGCTCCCGAGTCTGCGACCCCAACCCATTCCCAGGGCCGCCGACTGCGCCCACCTACCCACGCCCCGGGCCCACGAACCCCGCCCATCCCCCGGGCCCGCGACCCCAGCCCCACCCATTCCCAGAGCCCCGAAGCCCCGCCCCACCGCAAGGGCCCGCGACCCCAGCCCGCCTCCCAGGTCTCCAGAGTTCCCCACCGGGACGCCCACCCCCGCCCTTACCGCAATTCGGGGACCCCGAGACCAGCAGCTCGGGCGACTCAGGAAGACGATCCGCGGCCGGTGCGCACCGCGCATGCTCCCCGACCCGACCCCTCCCAGCCCCCACCCGACGTCGTCGTCATGGAAACCCCGAGAGTGCTCGAGCGCCAGCTTAAAGTGACCGAGGGGGTACCCAGGACTCCGGCGTGTCCAGGCCTGGCCACTGGCGGTGCCTGGGAGCAGCGTCTGGGCTGCAGCCGGTGGAGTCGAGGGCTGCCTGGAGGAGGCGGAACAAAGCCGAGGGAGTGGGAAAAGTGTGTCTGCCGCTGGGGGCCGGTCCGGGTGGCGGGGCTCTGGTGGCGGGGCTCGATGCACGCCAGGGGCCCGGGGCGCGGTAAGTGCGGACGCGCGCGCTCCGCTCCTGGGTCGGTGGGGCCCAGGGTGGGGTCGCACCTCCGGGAAGGTCCGGCCTGTGGGGGGACCCACTCACTCCCTGCTGGAGGGCAGACCGCTCCGCCGCCGCCGCAGTGTGCCCAGAGGCGCGGGCGCTTCCCAGTGAACTCAGGGCTGTTGCGCCCGGGCTCTAGCGGCCGGTGGAGACCGCCCCTCCCAGCGGGACGAGGTCTCCCCGCATGCATGGGCCCGGGCCGTGAGACCTGCGTTTGCCAGGCGCCCGCGGGGCACTGGCGGTGCGAGGCTCCGTAAGTCCAACCCCCAGGCGGAGGCTGCGACCTCCGGAGGAGCCCCAGGCCCACGTGAGTGCCGGCGTCCCCACACCCGCAGCCGGCAGCCTCCTGTGCGGTGGCCCGGAGCCGGCTGGGGCCCAGAGCTGACTTCCAGCCAGGCCCATTCCTGTGGCGTGGCGTGGGTCCACTCCCAGCTAGCCTCCGTCTACCCCGCACTCCGGACCCCTGGCCGGGGTCACGCTGGCACAACGCGATGACGTCCGAGCGCCCGAGCTTCGCCCGCGGCCACAGTGGCCCGAGTCGGTCGGTGTCTGGACCGTGAGCGGGTTTGGGAGCCGGGTGGGGTGTGTGCTCGCGACCGCCACCCTCCGCCCCCAGTTGGGCGGACACCGGGCTTTGGCGACGGGGTTGTGCTCAGGGTGCCCTGCACCCCAGCGTGTGGGAACGCAGGCAGGGCCCAAGCGGCGGGCCCATGTCCTGCACGCCTGGGAGCCAGTGGCGTTAGCGTGTGTGGCGCCTGGCACCCGGGATGAAGGGGTCACGGTCACCAGGTGAGGTGGGCGGCCCTCGGCCCCTGGGTGGGACGTACGCCCCAAGGGCGCCACTCCTCTGGCCGGAGTGCCGTGGTGTCATCGACTCACGGCAACCTCAAGCTCCCCGGTTCAAGCCATCCTCCTACCTCAGCTGGGACTACCGGTGCCACCACCGTGCCCTGCAATATTTCTATTTTTGTAGAGACCGGATCGCTCTTGCTCATGCCGGTCTTTTTTGCTTTTCTTTTCTTTTTTTCCTTTTTGAGACAGAGTCTCGCTTTGTTGCCCAGGCTAGAGTGAGTGCCGTGGCGTCAGCCTAGCTCACAGCAACCTCAAACTCCTAGGTTCAAGCGATCCTCCTGCCTCAGCCTCCCGAGTAGCTGGGACTACAGGCATGCGCCACCATGCCCGGCTAATTTTTCCTATATATATTGGTTGGCCAATTAATTTCTTTCTATTTATAGTAGAGACGGGGTCTCGCTCTTGCTCAGGCTGGTCTGGAACTCCTGAGCTCAAGCGATCCTTCCACAGTGCTGGAGTTACTGGCGTGAGCCACCGCGCCCGCCTGGCCGCAGGCTGCTTTTTCTACCCGGTAGGTCCCAAGCTGCCCCCAGCTGTGGCCTCCTGTCAGCCCCCACCACAGACAGTTGTTTCCCGGGAGAAGGGTCACTGGCGTGCCCCAGAGGCTCCGCTCGGGCTGCGGAGAGGAGCGCGGAGCCCCGCACAGCTGAGGCCGCAGGGCGGGCGCTCGTTGCACGCGGGCTGTGTAACCACAGCGGTCCCGGGATGGTGTGTCCCCAGTGCCTGGCGGGCGCTCCTCACACGCGGTCCTCTCCTGCGGGCCTGTCTCATCCCACGGCCCAAGCTGACCTACTGCCCGGCGCACACCCTCGCCTGACCACGCGCCCCTGCCAGGGGGCGTGCGGCCCTCCGCCCTGTGGGCGCCCGGCCTGGTGGGGCGGCTGCGCCCTGGCTCCCGCCTCCCTCACACCCCAGCTTTTCCTTCTCCACAGGATCGTCCTCCCTGGCAAACCAGCTGGGGCTCTGTGCCGTGCCCACGAAACAGCTCCGGCGCCTCCGCCGGCGCCGCGTCCTGCCGCTTCCTCCCCGCGCCTCTGCGGAGCCCAGGCTCCCTGCTGGGCGACCCTCTGCCCCTGCCCTCCGTGTGCCCGCCCCTCAGCTTACCGCTGTTCCTTCCGAAGTCCCCCGGCTCCTCGCCCCGTCCTCGCGCCCGCCCCTCAGCTTACCGCTGTTCCTTCCGAAGTCCCGCCGCCCGGCTCCTCGCCCCGTCCTCGCGCCCGCCCCTCACCTGGACGCCGCCCCAGCTCCAGTCAGAGGGACCTTCCAGAAAAAGAAAACACGGGCCAGGCAGCTCTCACGCCTGTAATCCTAGCACTCTGGAGGCTGAGGCGGGAGAATCGTTTGAGGTCAGGAGTTCAAGACCGGCCTGAGCAAGAGTGAGACCCCGTCTCTACTAAAAAAAAAAAATAGAAATTAGCTGAACAACTTATATATATATTTATTTATTTATTTAGCCGGGCATGGTGGCACATGCCTGTAGTCCCAGCTACTCGGGAGGCTGAGGCAGGAGGATTGCTTGAGCCCAGGAGTCTGAGGTTGCTGCGAGCTAAGCTGACTCCACGGCACTCTAGCCCAGGCAACAGAGACTCTGTCTCAAAAAAAAAAAAAAAAAGAAAAGAAAAAGCATAGCTGGAGTGGCTCATGCCTCCTGTAATCCTCGCTTTGAGGCCAAGGGGGAAGGATCACTTGAGCTCAGAGTTCCAGACCAGCCTGAGCAAGAGCAAGACCTCCTCTCTACCAAAAATGGAAAATTAGCTGGGTGCGCGGTGGCACCTGTAGTCCCAGTTACTCTGGAGGCAGAGGCTGGAGGATGGCTGGAGACCAGGAGTTGAAGGTTGTTTTGAGCTATGATGATCCCACTGCACTCCACTCAGTACGACAGAGTGAGACTCTCAAAAAAAATTGTAAAATAAACATAACAAAATTTACCATTTTAACCTTTTTTTTTTGAGACAGAATCTCACTTTGTTGCCCAGGCTAGAGTGAGTGCTGTGGCGTCAGCCTAGCTCACAGCAACCTCAATCTCCTGGGCTCAAGGGATCCTCATGCCTCCCAATTAGCTGGGACTGCTGGCATGTGCCACCATGTCCAGCTAATTTTTCCTGTATAATTTTAGTTCTACAGCTAATTTCTTTCTATTGTTTTAGTACAGGCAGGGTCTCACTCTTGCTCAGGCTGGTCTTGAACTCCTTAGCTCAGACGATCCACCCACCTTGCTTCCTACAGTGCTAAGGTTACAGGCCTGAGCCACCATGCCCAGCCACATTTTAACCATTATTAAGTGTACAGTTCAGCAGCATTTATATTCATATTGTCACAATCATCACTACCATCCATCCCCAGAGCTTTTTCATCTTCCCAAACTGAAGCTCTGTTCCCATTTAAGCAATAACTCCCCACTGCCCACCGCCAGCCCCTGGCACCCACCATTCTATGCCCTGTCTCTATGAATCTGACTATTCTAGGGACCTCAAATAAGTGGAATCATACAGGATTTGTCCATTTGTGTCTGCCTTATTTCACTGAGCATCATGTCTTCAAGGTTTATCTATGTTGTACCATATGTCGGAATCTTCTTACTTTATTTTTATTTATTTATTTAGAGACAGAGTCTCACTCTGTTGCCCGGGCTAGAGTGCCATGGTGTCAGCCTAGCTCACAACAACCTCAAACTCCTGGGCTCAAGCAATCCTTCTGCCTCAGCCTCCCAAATAGCTGGGACTACAGGCATGGGCCACCGTGCCTGGCTAATTTTTTCTATATATTTTTAGTTGTTCAGCTAATTTCTTTCTATTTTTAGTAGAGGCAGGTCTCACTCTTGCTCAGGCTGGCCTCGAACTCTTGAGCTAAAATGATCCACCTGCCTCGGCCTCCCACCTGGCCATAATTTCCTTCCTTTTATGGCTGAATAATATTCCATCATATGGATAGACAACATTTTGTTTACCCATTCATCTGTCACTGGACATTTGGGTTGCTTCCATCTCTCAGCTATTGTGAATAATGACTGCTATGTCAGAGGGACCTTTTAAATCATTGTCAGATGCCGTCCCCTCTATCCATGACCCTCCGAGGCAACCATGTCACCCATAGTAGTAATCCAAGCCCTGCCATGGCTGGGAGGCTCTCGAGGTAACCTGTCTACTTCCCAGCCTCCCCTCCATCTGCTCCCTGCCCACTCAGGTGAGTCACATAGCCTCCTCGCCTGGCCTGGGACACTGGCTGCTCTGGCCAGTTCCTGCAGATAGCACAGGGCCTTGGCCTCTCCTCCCCCCATCAAGGCTTTGCTCACATCTTTTCTTCTTGGTGAGACTCAGACCACCCACCCTAAGTAGGGCACCTGCCAATTCCAACCTACCTATTTTAGTCTGTGTGGGCTGCCATGACAAAATGCCACAGGCTGAGGGTCCTAAACCACAGAAATCTATTCTCTCACCATTCTGGAGGTCAGACATCCAAGAGCAAGGCGTTGGCCAGTTCAGTTTGGGATGAGAGCCTTCTCCTGGCTTGCTGAATGACACCTTTTTGCTATGTCCTCACAAGGCCTTTCCCCAGTGTGCGGGAAAAGACAGGGAGAGCAAGTGAGCTCTCAGTGTCTCTTCTTATAGGGACACTGATCCTGTCAGATCAGGGCCCCACCCTTGTGACCTTATTTAACCTTCATTAGTTCCTTAGAGGCCCCTTCTTCCAACTATGGCCACACTGCTGGGCAGGGCTCCAACACAGGTTTGAGGGGACACAGACATTCAATGCATGGCACCACCCTATCCTCCCCACCCCCACCCCATTCTACTGTTTTCATTTTCCTCACCTAACTATATACTTT